GGAGGCTACAGTGCCCCAGCCCTGCCTGGAGACCGCGAGGAAGTTTATCGCCCTCCAGGGTCTATACTGGCGGGTGGTGGGTGAACCCGCCATAAGGGATTCCCCGGAGGCAGTAGCACTCCTGAAACAACTTCGGAGTGAGTTCGCTGCTGTCTCCCCAGTGGCCCTACCTCAACAGCTGGAGAAGGCTGAGGAAACCTTGAGGGAGCTGCTCCGGTTGCGGTCGGGGCTGACCCCTCCAGAGGAGGATGTGGCCCCTCCTGTGCCGTTGTCCTCTGAGGTTCCGGCGCCCCCTGCTGGCCGCACGCCCGAGGCGCCCCCGTGTGTTCCTGCGGCGCCCCCAGAGGCGCCTGTGGTGGTGGTGGTTCCTGTGTTGGCTGCTACTGAGGCGCCCCAAGAGGCGCCTACGTCTCCTGCAGCGCCCCCTGTTGGCCCGGAGTGGGCGGCGCCTGCAGCGCCCCCCGAGTCTCCTGTGGCGCCTGCAACGCCCTCCGAGGCTCCTGTGCCTCCTGCTCCAGTTGCACTACCCCCTGCTGACCTGGAGTGGGTGCCCCCTGCCCAGTCCCCTGTGCAGCCGCCTCAGCCCCCCTGTGACTACAGTGCTACAGTGCTACAGTGACCTAGCTCCGTCCCCTGCTGCTGCTACGGCGCCCGCGGCCCCTGCTGCTACGGCGCCCGCGGCCCCTGCTCAGCTCCCGGAGGTCCCCGTAATGCCCCTTGTTGGCCCGGAGCCTGTGGCGCCTGCTGCGCCCCCCGAGGCTCCTGTGGTGCCTGCTGCGCCCCCCAAGGCTCCTGTGGCGCCTGCAGCACCCCCCGAGGTCTCTGTTCTCGCCCCCGAGGTTCCTACGCCTCCAGCTCCAGCTGCACTACCTCCTGTTCCTGCAGTGGCCCCAGAGGTGCTTGTGCCTCCAGCTGCTATTGCGGCTCCCCCTGCTGGCTTGGAGGCCGCTGCTGTTGTTACACCGCCCGAGGTCCTGGTGTCCCTTGGGCTTCCCGTGACTCCTGTGCCTTCCGCGGTGTCCCCCAAGGCCCCCGCGGTCCCTGCAGTGTCCCCCGCGGCTCCTGCTCTGGCGCCCAAGGCCCCCTTCCCCGTGACTCCTGTGCTCCCCGCTCAGGCCCCCGTGACTCTTGTGCTTTTTGTGGCGTCCTCCGAGGCCCCTGCTGCCGCCGCAGCATTCTCCAAGACCCCTGCTGCTACAACCCAATCCCGTGTGCAGCCCCGAGAGGTCCCCATGACTCCTGAGCTCCCCGCTCAGCCCCTTGTGACTCCTGCTCAGGTCCCCGTGACTCCTGTGCTCCCCGAGGCTCCTGAGGCCCCTGTTGATCCTACATTATCTATGCAATAGTCCATTAGAGGCAACAGAAATGAATCGGAAATTGTGATGAATCGGCGGTAATCGGTACACAACCGGAAGGTGCCATCAGGTTTTGGAACCACAATACACGGCGAGTTCCAAGAACTAGAACTAGGAACAGCTAAACCATACTGTAATAAATAGTTAACTTCCCTCTTAATGGCTTCTTAGCGTTCACTGTATATGCATTTTGCTTTATTGGAATAGATAGCAGTTACTCATATATCATGATGCAATACCTCAGTCTGAGATGTAATGTCCAGGAATAAAGACGGAAATTGTCTAATTAGTAAAATAATGTCTTTCCTATTAGTAGACGATAAAGAACTTAAATAAGAATGCAAATTAGACAACACTTCCGAATTCAATAACCGAGCAGTAGTAAACAACGATGCGACGCCCACCAATCCATCACTGTCATCGTTAGGTTCAATTTCAAGTGAGATAACCATGCCTGCCAGCACACTGGGTTTAGAGTTTCCCTGAGGTATACAGTCTGCAGGATCGTGATAGACCTTAAGCATGTTAACATGACAAATGGAATTTCCGACGTCGTTCTGGAGTGGCAACGACGTAGTCTCACTTAAATTCTTCTCCACCATATACGGTCCTGAAAACTTTGATCACCTGGGTGAAATTCACGAGATACTGCTTGTTTGTTATATACTTTTTTCATACAAGCCTGAGAAGACAAAAGAGAATCTTTAGCTAAGGCCCAAGCTTTTGCTAACCAATCCCTAAAAGTAGTAACACACTGGTTTGTTTCTCATCCTTAACCAAAAAAACCTCCTGTAAGGCCTTTAATGGTCCTCTAACAGAATGACCGAAAACTAATTCTGCTGGGCTAAAGCTTACCGAATCCTGAATAGCTTCCCGTGCGGCAAATAATACAAACAACACTTCCTGATCCCATTCACGCTCAGTCTCTAAACAATACTTCCATAACATCGACTTTAACATCTCTCTAATGCGCCTTGCGATTCCGGATGATATGGGCTAGAGGTTTGGTGCATAATATTCAACGTGGATAAACAAACAAACAAACAAATTTATTTTTGTATAGCGCATTATCACAACATTACATTGTCTCAAAGCGCTTTAAAGCATCCCCACCCAAAGCCCCCAGTGAGTAAGCCATAGGCAACAGTTTCAAGGAAAAACTCCCAAGGAAGAAACCTTGGGAGGGACCAGACTCAAAGGAGGAGCGTCAAATACAGTTAAGTCTGAGACACAAATGGTGAGCAGGGGGGAGATGGCACGCCGGTGCCAACGCTCCCTCCAATCGCCAGGCAGCAAGAAGGCAGGGAGCGGGTCATACAAGGAAGATGACATGGGCATAAAACCTGTGCAAATAACTTTATAACAAATAAAAATTAGTTCCCTGATCTGTTTGTACCACCCAGGGCAATCCAAAGGTATTAATACTTGATTAAGGCAGAACTGACACTAGAAGCGGTAATGCATTGTAATGGCACAGCTTCCAGAAAACGAGTGGCAGCACACATCACAGTAAGTAAAAACTGATTGCCAGACTGTTTTCAGAAGAGGCCCCACACAATCTACTAAAACATGCTTAAACAGTTCACTAATAGCTGGAACTGGGTGTAATGGAGCAGGAGGTATCACCTGGTTTGGTTTTCCTACTTGTTGACAAACGTGACACGATCGACAGAATAGCACCACGCTTTTCTTCAAGGCAGGCCAAAAGAAATGTTTTTGTGACCAAATGTCTAAAAGGTGATGGCAAAACAATTTGAATAGCCACCTGTGCATCTGATTGCTTATGAGTGCATTTACGCAACAGCATGCCTTTATCAAGAAAATACGTAGCACAAGTCTTGTTACTCTTTCAAGTTCAGGATCAGCTTTTTGTGCGGCAATAAGAGAGTCTCGTCCCAACACTAAATCGTCTGCATTCTCGCTAGCAATTCATTCCCTTAATTTGACACTATCCAAGACAGACAAAGCTTCACTTAAAAATGTGTCAGGCAACGACAGTACATTTGTAAATTTCTTTGACTGAGCACGCATAAGCACACAAGCAGGGTAAACCGGTGCTCCTTCAGCAAGGGACACTTCCAAACAAGGTTCATCCAGCACTTTTAAAACAGGCAAAACAGTCTCACCTGTAAGATCATTCCCCAAGATGAAATAAATACCTTCAATTAGCAGTTCTTTACACAACCATACTTTATTATATCCTTCCACTAATGATGACTGCACATACACATGGTGTAGTAGGGGCACCTTAATAAAACCCATCTCAAACCCTCAACGTAATGCATACAATCCACAAAATGATTTATTAGAAAATGGTAAGACCCCTTCTAAAATAAACAATTGCGCAGCCCCCTTATCTCGTGACATGGTAACATTACAAGAGACATCATTCTCATGAAGCGATACTGTACCAGAAGTGATGAATGGCCGATAACATGTATCATAAGGAAGTGAATCAGGAAAAGGAGGATTTACATGTCCCGCTAATGCTACCTTCATCGGTGGGTGAGCAGAGTTCAAACATTCTTCTTTCTTCTTTAAAGCCATGCAATTCGCAATAAGATGCCCCGGTTGACGACAATAGAAACACTCTTTAATGTTTCCATCTGTAACTTCCTGAATGGAAGACTGCTGCCAGATATTTTTCCTACCGGATCGACACGGCTCTTCAACTCATTGCTGCTTAAAATACATACTCATCCACCAAAATAGCACCATCTAATAACAGGATTCCCGCTGCCGCTCGTCACTCTCGTCATTGACGAAAACGGAACACATGGTGACGAAGAAAAACGGCATCAAATCGTCACTCTGGCGAATTCAATTTTCAAATGACGAATTTTGAATTTTTGAAAAGTCGAATTTCATTTTTCCCAATTTTCAACCGTAGCACCCGTAGCGCCTAATCAAAACTAGCCCGGCGCCCCGGACATACGATCGTCGATCATCCATGTCAAATGAGCATGGGCCGTTCTAAAAGTAGCAAATGTTATCGATCGGTGTGGGGACATTCTAAAACGCTTAATGTGAAAACGCTTAATGTGGTTTAATGTACCAAAATAGCGACCAATAATCACCAAATTTCGCACACACACATCTGGTCATAAAGACTTTCACCTGACAAAAAATCAAAACCGAAATACAAGGAATGTGGACTTTATTTTACGTTAAGCGTTTTCCCCTCCATTGACGCCCATTATAAGGAAAAGGCTTAATTAGGGCCCTATGAAATCCGTTTTGTTTTTTCCTAAATTCCATTTTTTCCATTTTTATTCTTCTGAATTAAGAACATAAGAACATAATTTTGTGTTTTACGTTATAAACATATTTATTCACCTAAAACTGGCTAATTATGGAGTGGATGGGGGAAAAAAGAA